TAGGCAAATCCATGGAGACAGAAAGTAGATCAGTGGTTGCCAGGGGCTAGGAGGAGGAAATAATGGGAAAGGAATATTAATTAGCAATGGGGTTTCTTTGGGAATGATAAAAATTGTTCTAAAATTAGATTATGGTAATGGTTGCACGACCCTGTAAATATACTAAAGAACATTGTATTGTACACCTTAGTAAACTTTATGGTATGTAAATTATCTCAATAAAGGAGATCGATCCAAGATGGCCGACCACTAACAGCTCAGGATTGTAGCTCCCAGTGAAAGCCCAGAGAACGAGACGACGCCACACTTTTAGACAAATTTTCGTCACTCACCGATCAGCCGATTCCCAGTGGAGGAGCCCCACGGGTCGCCAGCGCGACTCTTGTGGCCGCCACGGCGGTTTTGCCGGCGTCTCGGTGCAGCAGCTCTTCATGCAGAGCCAACGGGACTGCTTTCCCTACTGACTGGAGTTTGGAGCTCCGGGAAGTCAGAGCCGCTTGTTGCGGACTCAAGAGGGAAGCCAGACCAGAGATTCCCGGGCAGAAGAGCACTATCAGTCTTACCGCTGCTATTTAGGCTGCCACAGTGGGTTGCTCGGATCCCAACACTGGGAATCAAGAGGTCAGACGTCGACTCAGAAAACTAATTAGAAAGGCGGTTCATCTATAATGAAGGGAAAAAAACAGCCTAAGAAGGCCGAGTATACTCAAGGTCAGAACCCATCAGCAACAGAACAAGCCCTGATGGAAAAGGACTCATCAGCAACCGAACAAGCCCTGATGGAAAAGGACTCATCAGTAACGGAACAAGCCCTGATGGAAAAGGACTGTGTTCCATTATCTGAAGTAGGCTTTAAAAGGTGGATGATAAGAAACTTCTGGGAGTTAAAGGAACTCGTTCTAACCCAATGTAAAGAAACTAAGAACTTGGAAAAAAGGTTAGATGAAATGTTGAAAAGAATAGACAATATAGAGAGGAATATAAATGAACTTATGGAGTTGAAAAATACAACACGAGAACTTAGTGAAAAATGTACAAGCTTAAACAGCCAAATGGATCAAGCAGAAGAAAGGGTATCAGAGGTCGAAGATCAACTTAATGAAACAAAACAACAAGACAATAATAGAGAAAAAAGGATAAAAAGGAATGAGCAAAGTCTCCAAGCAATATGGGACTATGTGAAAAGACCTAATATACGCTTGATTGGTGTACCTGAATGTGACGGAGAGAATGAATTCAAGCTGGAAAATACTCTCCAGGACATTATCCAGGAAAATTTTCCTAATTTAGCAAAGCAGGACACTATTCAACCCCAGGCAATACAGAGAACACCACAAAGATATTCCTCAAGAAGACCAACCCCAAGGCACATAATCGTTAGATTCACCAAGATCGAAATGAAGGAGAAAATATTAAGGGCAGCCAGAGAGAAAGATCAAGTTACCCATAAAGGTAAGCCTATTAGGCTTACAGCAGATCTCTCAACGGAAACCCTACAAGCTAGAAGAGAGTGGGGGCCAATATTCAATATACTTAATCAACAGAACTTTCAGCCCAGAATTTCATATCCTGCCAATTTAAGCTTTACATTTGAAGGAAAAATAAAATTTTTTAGGAACAAGCAAGTACTCAGAGATTTTATTACCACCAGGCCTGCTTTACAAGAACTTCTAAAAGAAGCACTATACACAGAAAGGAACAACCAGTATGACCCTTTGTAAAAATACACCAAAAAGTAAAGAGCATTAACATAAAGAAGAATTTTTATCAACAAAAGGACAAAATAGCCAGTTAATATCAAACGGCAGCAACCCTAAATTTAAATTGACCAAATCTCCCAATCAAAAGATACAGACAAAATCTAACGGTATATCCAAAGATATACATAGACTCAAAATAAAGGGTTGGAAAAAAAAACGTACCAACCAAATGGAGAGCAAAAATAAATAAATAAAAAGCAGGAGTTGCAATTTTCACATTTGACAAAATAGATTTCAAAGCTACAAGGATAAAAGGATTAATGTAATAATAAGAGATCTTAACACCCAGATACATAAGACCCATAATGAGATTTAGATTCAACGAGACAGAAAATTGATAACGATATCTGGGACTGGAACTAAGATCCAGAACAAACAAACTCAATAGAGCTCTCCATTTTAAACACACAAAATATACATTATCTGCAAAATCTAACGATATATCTAAAGATATACAAAGACTCAAAACAAGGGGATGGAAAAAAACTCACCAACCAAATGGAGAGCAAAAATAAATAAATAAAAAGCAGGAGTTGCAATTCTCACACTTAATAAAATAGATTTCAAAGCTACAAGGATGCAAGGGTAAAAGGATTAATGCAACAATAAGAGATCTTAACACCCAGATACATAAGACACATAATGAGATTTAGATTCAACGAGACAACAAATTGATAACGGTATCCAGGACTTGAACTCAGAGCCAGAACAAATAAACACAATAGAGGTCTCCATTTTAAACACATAAAATGTGCATTAACCACTTTAAACACTCAAAATATTGATCGGCCATTATTGAAACCCATTTTAGGAATGAAGTAATATTCCTTTTTCCCTCTTTTTCTTTTTTTCCCCTTCTTCTTCTAAAAAAAAAAATTATCTCAATAAAGTTGTGAAAAGAGAGAGAGGGAAAGAAAAAGAGATCTGAACTCCAATTTACCCTTCTTGTAAGACTCTGTTTCATTAATTACCATTCCTATGCATATCCAAATCTCTCATTGACTAAATAACAGTTTGACATTTTTCCCGAAATGATGTGAGCTTATAAAGAGTTCAGATGCACCCTAACGTTCCCCTTCTTTATTTTTTAAACTGCTGTTTACTTCAGCATTTATTTACCCATCTTCAGTCTTTATTCATTATTTTCTGATTGTAAACAACTTTGTGCTATTTGCTTTGCAGAGGAATTTACTAGTGCCCCTAAGACTTGCATTGTTTAACAACCTCTTTCTTTAACCGTCTGCTTCTTTCAAGAGTCTTTGGGAGCAGTAACAAGGAGGATTTTATCTTTATACGATGTATTCATAAACCTTTGTATATACTCAGCCGTTATTACTTCTCACAGATTATGGTTGTAAAGTACAAAGTTTGAACGATAAATTTCAACTGATGGGACCGGTTGTTTCAGAGACAATAAAACATGTATCATATAATCTTACTTTAAATACACTCTTCTTTACCTACAAACCCACCTCTGCAACTGGGAAAGAGGCATAATGGAGAAATTTTCTGAAAGACAACATAAAAACCAGTTTTTTTAAATCTACATCAATCTTCCTCTTCCTCCTCAACATTAACTTCCACTGCACTACTATTCCCCACTTCCCCTTCCTGCTCCTTCTAGCAATCCCATGGTGATTTTTAATGATAGCTGTTCTCAAATTTGTCTGTAGTTTCTATGTATGGACACTTCTGTAGCAATTTCCAGAATATTAATTAAGTATTTGAGTATACTGGCACTGGGGAGGGGAGAACATCCTTCAGCCTTAGGAGTACACCCACCCCAAGGGAAGACAAAGTGGTCATTGTATTGTGGTGAGTGAACACAAACTGCTGAAGAAATAAGTCACACATCACCTCTAGATAAGGAGGCTCAGTTACAGGCTGAACCAGCTGTCCAAAGAAATAGAGAATAAAAAGTAACCTCAATTCTGCAAAGACTGGGAAGCTTAATGGAGAAAGCCCATTTTTTATTCTTACTAACTATTCCAAGAGATGCTAAAAATTTTGCTGCCAGGAGAACCAAATAGATCCGTTTTCTTGTTTTGCCCCACCCCCAGTAAGTTTTCACATAGTCCTCTTTTCTATTTTTATGGTTCTCTGCATGTGCTTTGATATTTTTCTATTTCTTTTCCCCGTTTTCTCTCAAGAGCTCACTCTTAACCACCAAGTACAATGACAGGAAATGTACATTTGTTCAAGATAGCACAGAAATAGTTTATATTTTTGCTTCACTTTGCCCAAAGGGGAGTTATTTTTCCTTTTAACGTGTTTCCAACTACAAAATTAGGGGAAGAGGGAGGGCAGGCCACACACGGAGAATTTGCACTCTGGTTGACTTGAGTTCACTTTTAAATTTAGAGCCAAGGAAGCCTGAAACTAAAACAAAGGCAATGTATACGGCTATGTGTGGTAGGAAATGACCTTTCCTATGTTGAAATTATAAAATAATTTATCATAAGCAATATCCTTTAATAATGAGTAACAGTCTTTTCAAATAATGTTTTATTTTTTTAAAAACTGGGTTTCTAACATATTGTCTAGAGACAGATCCTAATTTGCTAAATAGGTAGGATATACAGTGTGGTGAAACAAGGGAAGACGCCACACCCCAACCACCCTGACACTAGGATCAGAAGCCTGTGTTTGGTGCTAGAGATCCTCACATGCAGAACAGAGGTTATTGGCAAGTAAATGAAGAGAAAACCACAGGAATCAATGGTATCAGGAGGAGAGTAAAACAGGTAAGAAAGGGGCCCAGGATTGAGCCCTGGGAGCATCAACAAACAGAGGAAAAGCTAAGATGGAAATTCCAGCAAAGGAGGTGAAGGAGTAAGCAGTGTGGTGGGACAAAAGCAGAGAGAGCACCACCAGGGTTTCCACAAGAAGAGTGTCACAAAAAGGAGGAAGTGGGCAGGTGCGTCAGATGGGCTGAAAGGCCATGCATGAGGTGGACAGAGAAGTGGCCATTACATCTAGCCTTTTGGAGGGCATGGTGACCTCTGCAGGAACAGAGGCGTGGTGAAACCTGAAGCCCTATTAGGAGAGGTGGGAAAGAGAATGAGAAAGTAGAGACTGCAAATACAAATAACTTTCAAGAAGTTTGTTTGTAAAGGGAGTAAAAATTTGAGACAGTGGCTGGGTGGGAATGTCCAGTCATAGGATACCTATCACCTCAAACATTTCTCATTTATTTGTGTTGAGAATATTTCAAATCTTGTAGTTATTTTGCAATATACAACAAATTGTTGTTAACTATAGTTGCCCTACCATGCTATCGAACATTGGAACTCATTCCTTCTATCTAAAGAACTCTTATGCATTTCTTTTATACTAGTGACAAATTTTTCCTAAAATTTATCTGATGACCCTTATTTTGCCTTAGTATTTTAGTGATGTTTCCATTGAATTTAAATTCTAGGTGGACTTTTCTATCAGCACTTCGACAATATCATCCCATTGTTTCTTGGATTCTATTGTTATGATGAAAAGTGAATGATAATTTTTATGATTCTTTTCTTATAATTTTTTCCCTCTGGATGGATTTTCAGCAATTTGATATTGTTTCCAAATGATTTTTTTTAATTTCAGTTTTTCTTGGGGTTTGCTTAGCCCCTGGATTCTGTGGTTTGAGAATTTTTGTTTTGTTGGTTTTTTTTCTGTAAAAATTTGAATATTTTGGCCAATATTTCTTCAAATATTTTTTCTGACATATTTTCTCTCTTCTACTTTTGGGGCCCCACTTATGTGTATGCTGCACCATTTGATTCCATCCCACAGGTTACTGAAGCTCTGCTCATTTTTTTCTTAGTCTATTTCCTCTTGGCTTCAGTTTCAATAATTTGTAGTGATGTATCTTAATGTTTACTCTCCTGTTGTGTCCAATCTGTGTTAATCCCATCCAATGAATTTGTTATTTCAGATATTGTACTTTTCAATTCTAGGATTTCCATTGTTTTTCTTTTCTTCAATTTTGCCGTTTTCACCTTGTCTGCCATTATATCTCTATGCTTCTCTAGATTATTTTCCATATTTATTATAAGGATTTTATAGGACTTTTCTGTTCATTCCAATATCTGGCTTGTCTCTTGATCTGTTGCTACTGGCTGTTTTTTCTTCTTGTCTATAGATTACATTTTCCAGTGTCACTCGATGTATGGCATATTTTAAAAATTGAATTTGGAATACCATGTATGATACAATTTAGAAACTCTAAAGTCTGTTATATTCCTCTGAAGAGCATTACATTTTGTTCTAACAGTATAATTATTGATGAATTAGTTACCTGTTTCTTAAAGGTTTGGTTTAAGTTTTGTTAGGGTCATTTTATAGGTTTTGTCGCTAGTCTATGGTGGTTTTCTTAATCCTGAGATGTAGTCTTTATTTGTAAGGCAAATCCCTTCTATGGAGTCAATGGGCAGCCTTAGATGTTTACCAAATCCTTCTAACTTGAGAGGACATTAACTCCCAATTCTGTCTTCCCAGCAGTAAGCAGCTGCAGAAATCTCTGCTCAACTTTTCAGCCTTCCAGCTGATTATTTTCCCTAGGGCTTAATGGAATCTCATTCCACTAAGTCACAGTTGAACATCTGCCAAGCCTTTGAGAGGCATTTACATGTAGATCTGGGTGGGGCTCCCCTGATCCTCTGTGATTCTCTTTTATAGCATTTCCTTCCTCAATATCCAGCTGCTCTGGCATCCCCAAACTCTAACCTCTGACTTTTCAATTCTACATTATAGCCACTTCCAGCTCGAGTTGTGTCCTTCAAGGGCTGCACATACTGAAGAGTACTTTCAGGACAAAAGCCAGATAAATACAGCTCACATGCAGTGCAGTTTTCTTTTAAGGGTCATATGCCTTCCACTGTCTGTCATCCTTTAGTAACTCTCCAGTGCCTCCAAAGAGTATTTTATTTTTTAAATAGACTTTATTATTTGGGGGAGTTTTACATTCAGAACAAAATTGAGCAGAAAGTACAGAGTGTTCCCAAATACCCTCACACACACCCTACCCCCAACTCACAGCAGCCTCCCTCACTCTAGCATTCTATGCTAGGTGGTACATTTCTTAGAATTGATGAATCTACATTGACACATCATTATAATTCAAAGTCTACAGTTTACACCAGAGTTCACTCTTGGTATTGTACATTCTATGGGATTTGACAAATGCATAATGACAATAATGACAATATATCCATGATTATACCATCATACAAAATAGTTTCAGTGTTTTACAAATCCTCTGTGCCCAGACAATTCATCTCTCCCTCCTCCCTAATTCCTGGCAACTACTGATGTTTTTACTGTCTCCATAGTTTTGCCTTTTCCAGAACATTATATAGTTGAAATCATATAGTATGTAGCCTTTTCAGATTTGCTTTGTTCTCTTAGTAATACACATTTAAATTTCCTTCATATCTTTTCATGGCTTGATAGCTCATCTCATTTTAGCTCTGAATAATATTTCATTTTCTAGATGTATAACAGTTATTTATTTATTCACCTACAGAAGGACATCTTGGTGGCTTTCAAGTTTTGGCAATTATGAACAAAGCTGATATAAATATCAGTGGCAGGTTTTTGAGTGGATATAAGCTTTCAACTCATTTGGGTAAATACCAATGAGTATAATTGCTGTATCTTATGATAAAAGCATATGTGTTTTTGTAAATTGCCACACTGTCTTCTAAGGTGACTATGCCATTTTGCGTTTCCACCAGCAATAAAGGACAGTTTCTGTTGCTCCATCTCCTCACCAGCATTTAGTGTTGTTGGTGTTTTAGATTTTAGCTATTTTAATAAGTGTGTAGTGGTACTCCTTCATAATTCTTTTCTTGGGATTTTGTATGTGGAAGATTCGATTTTTCAGAATTTGAGTGCCACTGCTATTTTTCATGTGCCAAAGAACTAGGATTTTGAGATGGCCTAATGCTATATGGTCAGGCAATAATTGTCATGGTAATGTGGATGATGGTTTGCTCCTTGGCTTGGACATTGAAAACAAAATTCCTTATAGAAATTTATTCTGTTTCTTGCTACCTATGAGCCTTCAGGTTCCACAGGTTCACCCAAGAAAACATTTGGGAGAAGTGAGTTGGTTTGGGGAGCAGATTAAAGGAAATTTATAGTGTTTTACTAGTCAGAATTTGTATTCTAAGAGTCAGCTAGCTAGTTCAAGTAATTTCCCAGGAATAGAAAGAGAAAGGCACAGAGGAAAGGAGACAAGATATTTGGGTAGATGGCTTATCTTGATTTTCACTAACTCTTGATGGTTTAAGATACTACTTCACTTACGCTTCTTATGTGCTTCAGCACATAGTCTATGATCTGCCTTTGATATCACAGACCTTGTGAACCTGTTTGTCAAATTAACTTTTACAATCCCATTATCAATTCAGGATTCCAGAAGGATATTCTCATACTGTTGCTATAAATTAAAAAGAGCACAAACCCTACAACACTGAGATTTTTTATTACATTCCCCAAAACATCAAACACACACCATGGAATTAATGTCAGTATCAGAACAAGTACATTCATTGATCAATTCAGTGAGCATCAACTGCCTACTTCCTAAGAAGCAGGAATTCTGTTTGGCTTCTTAAGCTTAGTGTGTGGCAACAGAGCCCTTTGATACCTACATCTATTGATCATGCCTTCAGTTACTAAAAAAATCACATGATCAGAATTTATTGAGTATGGGTGAAAGGCACCTTGCACATTGAAATTCCAAAGGAGATTCTTTCTGCAAACCAGTTATTTACTGAGATCCTTGAGCTATTAGTGTCCAAGTGAAATAGAGTGGTCAGCAGTTATCTAGTGAATTATTGATAAGTAAATGAAGCCATTCCCAGGCAGTAAAATATCTATGCTCGTTAATGGCAGCTTTGCTTCTTTTCCTCCCAGAACTGTCTGATATGTAGTAGCCCCAGTTATTGCACATGTGCTCAGACAGAAATTTTCAAATTGTTTATTATTTGGTGAACTACTAACAGGAATGTTCAAAATATTATGCTTCTTTCTATCTCTAATCATTTATTTATTCAACAAACATTTAGTAAGTTCTACCTGTATTCCAGGCTCTACATCAAGCCCTGGGGATAGAGAGAGGAGCAAAACTTAGCTCTTGTATTCAAGTTCACAGATATTCATAAATCATTCAGAATAAATCATTAAAGTGTTATAAATCATTATAGCAAGCGACACATACTCAAACAGAATTGTCTGATGGAAACTCAAAGAGAAGATGACATATAAGTACGGAAGGATGAAGAGGAGTGTGCTGGGCTGAGCCCAGGAGAAAGGACACTCCCATCAGAGGAGGTGTACCCGCAAAGACAGGAGGTGTTAATACAGAAAGAACAAAAAAAATGATATCCCTAGCTATGCCATGAGTATAGAAGGATGGGGTAGGAAAAGAGGCTGGGTAGGCCAGTGAAGGCACCCTAAGAGTCGTACACCATGCCCAGGAGTTTGGACCTCCTTCTGCAAACAGTGGAAAGCCACTGGGAGATTTTAAGCAGGACCTAAACAGATTTATGCTTACAGATTCCTCTGGAAACAGTGGGGGCCATGGACTGGAGGGGATAAGACTGGGGACAAAGGAACAAGTCAGGAATTTATATAAGTATCCAGACAAGAAATGATCATGGCATAATTTTTAGCCATAAAAAAAAGTACTGGTGCATGTTACAACATTTGCAGATGAACCTCAAAAATGTGATGCTAAATGAAGGAAGCAAAATCATAAAAGACCAAATATTGGAGGATGTCTTTTGGGTGAAATGTCTAGAATTAGCAAATCTATAGAGACAGAAAGTTGATTAGTGGTTGCTTAGCACTGAGGGCCAGAGGAATTGAAAGAATGGCTAAGGGATACGGATCCTCCTTCTGGGGTCATGAAAGTATTCTAGAATTGATGATGGTTATAGATGTACAACTCTGTGAAAATGCTAAAAACCACTGAACTATGTATGCACCTTAGAAAGATGAAATGTTACAAATGTGAATTATATCTCAATTTTTAAAATTGGAAGAAAAAAAGGAAAGAAACAATGAGGCCAGAACAAGAGAGATCTGATTCTGACCTGCGGATCTGTGTGGCTGGGGCTGCCACAGATCAGGATGGGGAATGCAGAAGGATGATAGCTCCTTTCTAGACATTTTGTTTGAAGTGCCTGCAAAGTTGGCAGTCAGCTTGGTCTGCATTAACAGAACACCATAGACTGAATGGCTTAAACCACAGGAATTTATTTCTCATGCTTCTGGAGGCTGGGAAGTCCAAGATCAAGGTACTTGCAGATTCAGTTCCCGGTGAGAGTTCCCTTCCTGGCTTGCAGATGGCTGCCTTCTCACTGTGTGGCTATAAGCAGGAGTGCAGGGTGGCGGAAAGGGTGTAGAAAGAACTCTGGTGTCTCTCTTTCATCTTATAAGGACACTGATCCCAACATGGGACTCTATCCTTATCACTTCATCTAAACCTAATTACCTCCCAAAGTCCCATCTAAAAATATCATCACAGTGGGGATTGGGCTTCAACGCGTGTATTTCAAGGGGACACAAACATAAAGTTCATAGAGAGGTATCAAGATGGTGATCAGTAATAGCTAGGGGAACTTACAAGAGGGTTCAGAGATAGGATTAGAAAAAATTCAACATATACTTAGTTCTCAAAACTATGGAAATTAGTAAAACAAACTAAGGAGGGCACATGGAGTGAGAAGAGGGCTGAGGCTAGACCACTAGGGAAAGTCAGTGCAGGCAGAAGAAGAGGTGGCCGAGAAAAGGGTGAAATGAAGCTGTTAGAAAGCAGAGGTAAATAAATACCCCAAAACCTACCGAGTCCAGTCATGTCCTGAACACAGTGTTTTGAAATGCACACTTGGGAGCATCTCTAAACATAATTTTGCTAAATCAGGGCATTTGGCGTTCAACTAGGCCCATCCTGAACTGCATAAGATTGCCATTGCTCTGTGACCAGCCTCCTAGCTGGACACTGACCACAGGCTTCTGTGCTTTCATGAAATGGAGTGTATTCCTGCCTTTGTTCACTTGTCACGTGACTGGGAACCACACACTCTATCCACTGTGCAGTTTTGTTTTTCACTGTCCTACTAATGAAGTGGTTATGTTCAGCTTTCATCATAATTAGAGTTCATTTCATTCAAGTGCTTTGTAATTAATCTTTTATGTGAATTAATCTTTTTATACATTAATATATCACAAAACACATGAAAGCAAAATATTTTCCTTTTTTTTCAGTTGGAATCATTTTTAATATTTAAATATAAAAAGTGAGCACTCACTTCTGGTTTTTAAAACCCACACACCCAGGTCTAACAGCCAAAATGTGCAGAGAAAATCAGCCCCTGTCCTGTCTTCCATAGTCCCCATTTTGTGACTGCAGCCTCCCTCCTCTTATACATAGGAATTCATAGTGGCCACTTTATACTACATGTGTAATGCATTTTGTCTGTTTCACATTGTGTGCATGTCCCTCCCCAACAGCTCTATTCTTTAAAAAAAAAAAAAGTCGTTAATAGTCAGGGGCACATCCCTCCCACTGGCATCGGTTCCTACCCCACAAGGGGAAAGTGAGATCTTCCAGTTAGGAGCAATTTGGTGAAAGGAGTGGAGTGGCCAGAGCTGGAATAACTGTCTCCATGGCTGCACTCTGGTATCAGAGTGAAGACAGAAGCAAGTCAGAATAGCATGGAGGGCACAGTTGCAAGTTGAGTCTTTCCATGTGACAATGTGGGGAGACTTCTCTCCACCAGGTTTAGATAGATCAATGTGCCAAAGTTTAAAAAAAAATCCAAATAATCAGCAGTTCAAACACTACTGAATTTCAAACTTCTCCCACCAAGACAGCTCAAAGAGTAGTAACAATCTAGATCTTTCCAGGAAGTGAAGGTAGAGCCCCTGGCATTCCTCCTGAGAGCCCTGTGTTAGGCCCTAGAAGTATCTGCCTCGGCTGCAGTTGCTGCTGCTGCTCCATTTGCAACTTCTCAGTTTCAAAGACAACGGGAAGAACCAGGATCATAAAGGAAGTGGTCCCAAACCACAAGGCTGCCCTGGAAAACCTGTACATTTTTTGAGCCACAAAGAGGGAGAGATCAAAAGTGGCTCCCGCCGTAGACCGTACCCTCTCCGGAAACATCTCTGTCAGGCCCCATAGTCTCTCCGACAGGGTCTCATCTAGCTCCTCGTCGTCGTCCTCCTCCAGCTTCTCCTCAGTCTTCTCTGCTTCGCCTTTCGGGAGCAATTCGTCCGGGGACTGAGGTTCCCCTGCACTGGCAGCAGCGACGGCGGCAGCCATGGCTGTAGGGTACACCAGAAGCAGATAATATTTTCCTTACTAGCAAATTAAAGTAAGCTTCTTCAGCCTATGAGCAAACTGGAAGGGAAAAAAAATCTGGTCACATCAGGCCACAGTAAACCTCCTTTTTCCTAAAAAACAAAAAAAACAAAAAAAAACCTGACTCTTGGGTCTTAAAATTGGCACTTGGAAAATAGGAAAAATAAGCTCACCAAAGCCATTCAGCAAGGTATCTGTTCTCAACTAGCTTGTGGCTTGAAAAAAACAAAGGAAGGAAGATTTTTCAATAGTCATTTTATATCTAGTCAGCATTTATCTGATTTTTAAACATGAAGTTATGGAGCAAAAGCAAACATTGCAGAAACAGATGCTCCAACTTATGTCATTTATTATTACCTTGCAAACAATAAGCAGGCCTCACAGACAAGTTCTGCTTCATGATTTTGAGACATTTCTTTTGCCTCTTTTATGTCCTGATCCTCTCAGCGATCTGGGGCTGAGGCAGCCGTAGCCAGGAGACAGGCCACTTGCATTCAAATCCTGACTTCATTTTCCTAGCTGTGTGTTTCCGGCTTGTCACTTTATCTCTTTGTCTACATTTTCTCCTTTCCAAAATGACTACAACTCATTCGAGTTGCTTGAGAAGTAAATGCATTCATGTATGCAAATGCTTAGAAGTATACCTGGCACACAGTACATGCTCAGTAAACATGATTAATATCGTAATTATTATCATCGCTTTCTGAAACCGGAGACACAGAAGGACAAAATTACTCAAGTAACATATAGTAGGACTTGGGTTCCTGTCCTATCTATTAGGAGTTCCAGATGCTTTCCACTCTGCCAATGACAACTGGGGTTCTGGGGCACAACCCAGCACCTTGGAGGACATAACAGAAGAGACAATAGGATATGCTCAACCAACAGCGAGCTCTGTGACCAAAGAGCTGGAAAAGCCCCTTCCACACTCCTACCCCAGGTGAGTGCCAAACCCGGGGTTTCTGGGTTAGAATCCCTCTTGGCTGGGCAAAGTGCAGCTCGGGGATGCAGTGTATCAACTGTACTATTTGTATTGTGCCTAGATGCAACATAATGAATCTCTGGTTTTCTATTTAGGATACATTCCCAGAAGGGGAATTACTAGATAAAACTGTTTTTCATCTCATGGTACAGCTTGCCAAATTATTTTCTGAAAAGATTGTAGCAATTTTTACTGCTTGCTATGAGTAATACATGAAAATGTTGATCTTTGCCCTTACTAGTATTGAATTTTTTAAAAAACTATGTCACATCAATAAGCTGAAAATAAATGCTTTAATGTCATCTTAATTTATACTTCCTGAGTGTCCAGATAGGTTAAATGGTTTTTTCCACACTTCTTACCCACTTAAAGTGTGTGCGTATATTATTCATATCACTGGCCTATATTTTTCTATTTGGTGATGCTTTTGAAGTTTTCTTACTCATTTTAAATATTTTTATAGTTTAAAAATATTAACCATTTGTCATACTTATTACAAATATGTGCGCCCATTTGATCGTTTGCTTTTTAATTCTTTCATAGTGTATGTGTCAATTTTTAAAAAACCATGTTACGGTTTTAATGCTGTTGATAAACTTACTAATCTTTTCCTTTGTGGTTTCTTCCATGGCTTTTATGCAATTTCAGTCGCATCTCCTCTAAGACTTTGCCCTTTCAAACTTCTGTGCTGCTCGTGGGAACCTGCAGAACCACCCTCCCATGGCATCACTCCCACCACTCTGGCCACCCTTGCCCAGATGCCTATGTCACCCATACTCACCTTTCCAAATGGTAAGAAAGAAACGCCATTTCTTTCTACTTTAAGACAAAAATATTATGATAAACATGTTGATTTATGTGACCCAGGCTTTGTGCAGGCATTCTTGAGAGCCATTCTGTAAAGGGATGCAGGCCCTTTTTTTGTGTCATTTAAAAGGCACTATGAACCTTCATTTATGCATAAGGCCGGGAATTTGGTTTACCTCCGGATGTATCACACTGCGTTGCTTGCCATCAAGACTTGGCTTCTGTTTGCTTCTCATTCACAGAGATTATCAGCCAGAGTAGTTGGATGCCATAAGAAACCTTAAAATTTGCTATGTGCTTCTCTTCCACGGCAGCTATAACTACTAAGAAAAAGATCTTGGCCAGGAATGGTGGCTCAGGCATGTAATCCCAGCACTTTGAGAGATTCTGGTGGGAGGATCACTTGAGGCCAAGAGTTCAAGACCATCCTGAGTGAGACCTCTGTCTCTTAAAAAAAAAAAAAAAAATCTGACTCCTGAATACTCTAATCTAGAATGAGTTATAATAATAGTTATTATTAATGATATTTTGCATAGCAATTTATGGATCATAGGGTGTTTTAATTTATCAAGATTGCATTGGCTAATGTTTACAACACAATGTTGAATAATAGTAGATACAGTGATTATCCATGTAGAATTCCTGATGTCAGTGAAAATGCCTCTAAAGTTTTCCCATCATGTAAGCTGACGGATTTTAGGACTAAGGCATGTATATTTTATTATAGTAAAGCACCCATCATTTCTTATTTTCTTGAATGTTTTCAATAAGGAGGCTATCTAAATCCATAAAGAAAGCATGGGAAGCATTTTATCAAGATTATCTAATTTGATACTCCAAATCAAAAGGCAAATTATTTTTTCATTTTACAGATGAAGAAACTGAGTATTCAAGTGACTTGTTGGAGGCTGAAGAGCCAAAAGCCATGATTACAGCCATGACCCAGATCTCATATCATATCCAATAGAACATGTTTATTTGTAATCCAATTTTCCATTCATGACACCAACTTCTTTTTTTGGTTTTAAAAATTTGTCTTTTTATATTGAAGTAATCTCAAATTTACCAAAACTGTTATAAAAGTAATACAAAGAATTTCTGTATACTCTTCATCCAGCTTCCCCAAATATTAACATCTCATGTAACTACAAAGCAATTATCAAAACAGAAAATTAGTACTGATATACCACTGTTATCTGATCTACAGGCCTCATTTAAATTTTACTAATTTCCCATTAATGCCCTTTTTCTGGCTCAAGGTCAAATCTAAGATCACATGTTGCATCTAATTGTCATATATCCTTAGCCTCCTCTAATCTGTAATAATCCATTGGTCTTTGTCTTTCATGACTTGGACATTCTTGAAAAGTACTAGCCAGTTAATGTAGAGACTGTTTCTTTATTTGGGTTTGTCGGGTATTTCCTCATAATTATGTCCAAAACATCAATTATGTATTTTTGACAAGAATTCCCACAGAAATGATGTTGTATTCTTCTCAGTGCATCATCTAAGGAAGCACATGATGTCAATTTGTCCAATTACTCACAATATCAATTGTGAACACTTGATTTCTCCAGGTTTCTCCACTGTATAGATACTATTTTTCCCTATTTAGTTAACAAATACCTTTACAGGAGATAGTTTGAGACTAAATAAATGTCCTGTTTCTTATCATCTTTTTACCCACTACTTTGTTGTTTGCCAAATAATAATTTTCTATTTCCATTATTCTTTTTTTTTTTTAATTTTTTATTGGATTTTAGGTTTTGGGGTACATGAGCAGAGCATGTAAGACAGTTGCGTAGGAACACACATGGCAGTGTGCTTTTCTTTCCTTTTCCCCTTCATCCACATTTGGCATTTCTCCCCAGGCTATCCCTCCCCACCTGCCCCTCCCACTGGCCCTCCCCTTTTCCCCCAATAGACCCCAGTGTTTAGTACTCCCCTTTCTGTGTCCATGTGTTCTCATTTTTCATCACCCATCTATGAGTGAGAATATGTGGTGTTTTATTTTCTGTTCTTGTGTCAGTTTGCTGAGGATGACGTTCTCCAGATTCATCCATGTCCCTACAAACGACACAAACTCATCATTTCTGATTGCTGCATAATATTCCACGGTGTATATGTGCCACATTTTTCCAATCCAGTCTATTGTCAATGGGCATTTTGGTTGATTCCAGGTCTTTGCTATTGTAAACAGTGCTGCAATGAACATTCGTGTACATGTGTCCTTATAGTAGAACGATTTATAGTCTTTTGGATATATACCCAGTAATGGGATTGCTGGGTCAAATGGAATTTCTATTTCTAAGGCCTTGAGGAATTGCCACCTGTCTTCCACAATGGTTGACTAATTTACACTCCCACAAACAGTGTAAAGGTGTTCCTTTTTCTCCACATCCTCACCAGCATCTGTTGTCCAGATTTTTTAATGATCGCCATTCTAACTGGCGTGAGATGGTATCTCTATGTGGTTTTGATTTGCATCTCTCTGATGACCAGTGACGATGAGCATTTTTTCATATGATTGTTGGCCTCATATATGTCTTCTTTCATAAAGTGTCTGTTCATATCCTTTGCCCACTTTTGAATGGGCTTGTTTGTTTTTTTCCTGTAAATCTGTTTGAGTTCTTTGTAAATTCTGGATATCAGCCCTTTGTCAGATGGGTAAACTGCAAAAATTTTTTCCCATTCTGTTGGTCGCCGATCCACTCTAGTGACTGTTTCTTTTGCCGTGCAGAAGCTGTGGAGTTTCATTAGGTCCCATTTGTCTATTTTGGCTTTTGTTGCCAATGCTTTTGGTGTTTTGTTCATAAAGTCCTTGCCTACTCCTATGTCCTGGATAGTTTTGCCTAGATTTCCTTCTAGGGTTTTTATGGTGCCAGGTCTTATGTTTAAGTCTTTAATCCATCTGGAGTTAATTTTAGTGTAAGGTGTCAGGAAGGGGTCCAGTTTCTGCTTTCTGCACATGGCTAGCCAGTTTTCCCAACACCATTTGTTAAACAGGGAATCTTTTCCCCCTTGCTTGTTTTTGTCAGGTTTATCAAAGATTGTATAGTTGTAGATATGTTGTGTTGCCTCCGGTGCCTCTGTTTTGTTCCATTGGTCTATATCTCTGTTTTGGTACCATACCATGCTGTTTTGATTACTGTAGCCTTGTAGTATAGTTTGAA